ATAAATAACAATCAGCATGGATTTGTCAAGAACAAATTGTGTCAAACCAACCTGATAGCTTTCTTTGACAGGGTAACAAGACTTGTGGATAGGGGTGAAGCAGTAGATGTGGTATATCTTGACTTTAGTAAGGCTTTTGATGCTGTCTCACATGACCTTGTCACAATCAAACTAGGGAAATGCAATCTAGATGGAGCTACTATAACGTGGGTACATAATGGTTGGAAAACCATTCCCAGAGAGTAGTCATCAGTGATGCACACTCATGCTGGAAGGGCATAACGAGTGGGGTTCCCCAGGGATCGGTTCTGGGTCCGGTTCTGTTCAATATCTTCATCAATGATAGTTTGTGGATGATACCAAGCTGGGAGGGGTTGCAAGTGCTTTGGAGGATAGGATAATAAGTCAAAATCATTTGGACAAACTGGAAAAATGGTCTGAAGTAAATAGGATGAAATTCAATAAGGACAAATGCAAAGTGCTCCCCTTAGGAAGGAGCAATAAGTTGCACACATATAAAATGGGAAATGACTGCCTAGGAAGGAGTACTGTGGAAAGGGATCTGGGGGTCATAGTGAACCACAAGCTAAATAGGAGTCAATAGTGTAACGCTATTGCAAAAAAAGCAAACATCATTCTGGGCTGTATTAGCACGAGTGTTGTAAGCAAGACACGAGAAGTAATTCTTCCACTCTACTCCACGCTGATCAGGCCTCTATTGGAGTTTTGTGTCCAGTTCTGGGCGCCACATTTCAGGAAAGATGTGGAGAAATCAAAGAGAATCCAGAGAAGAGCATCAAAAATTATTAAAGGTCTAGAAAACATGACCTATGATGGAAGATTGAAAAAACTCAGTTTGTTTAGTCTGGAAAAGAGAAGACTGAGCGGGGACATGAGAACAGTTTTCAAGTACATAAAAGGTTGTTAAAAGGAGGAGGGAGAAAAAGTGTACTTCTTAACCTCTGAGGACAGGCTAAGAATCAATAGGCTTAAATTACAGCAAGGGAGGTTTAGTTTGGACATTAGGAAAAACTTCCTCACTGTCAGGGTGGTTAGGCACTGGAATAAATTGCCCAGGGAGGTTGTGGAATCTCCATCATTGGAGATGTTTAAGAGCAGGTTAGACAAACACCTGTCAGGGATGGTCTGGATAATACTTAGTCCTGCCATGAGTGCAGGGGACTGGACTAGATGATCTCTTGAGCTCCCTTCCAGTCCTATGATTCTGTGAAATGGACTCGTTTGGCCTTCTCAGATGCAATCTCCCTAATTAGCTCACCCGTGTATCCACCTTGCTTCCAAGTTCTCTAGAGAAGTAACTGGCAGATTGCTCAGACTTTGCTGCCCCAGGGACATTCTCAGATCGCTTTGGATTAATTTTCACTTGCTAAAATTCCTTTAATTAACCGCCACGGTTATGGGAAGGCAGCAAAATACACAGTGCTGTTTGTGTGTCAGTGAAACTCACCCCTAAAGACCTTCTGTGAATGTATCTAACGAGATGAACCCTCACCCCCAGCTATCTCTGCGCAGGGCAGACGGTCACTGACAGCTCCTGCCATGTGGACAAGGCACTGCCATATGATATTGGTTTCCATTGCTTCTCACTCCCGGATGCTGGGAGAGGCATGTGAAGAAGATTGGGCACGCCTCCTTGTGGCTGAAGGTGGCATGGCAGCTCTTCCCTAGGGCCCCCTGCTGGCAGTCCTGCAGCGGTCCCTATTCTGTAGCTCCGCCCTCTGGCCAGGTCCTGTTTGAGTTCCAGCGGCAGCAGAATGTCCAGCAAGTAATTCCAAGATCTTGTGTCACTTTCTGGGCTTCTTCCCTGGGTCCAGTGTCCCTTACACCTTTCTCCGGGGGGGGGGGGGGTGCCAGCCCCTTCCCAGTGCGGGGCTGAGGTGGGCCTTAGCCCCTCCTTGCCATGGGGCCCTGCCCCCCTTCATGGCTCCACCCCCTGCTTCTCCTCTCCCCCAAGGCCCCACCCAGAAGTCGGAGCTGAGCAGCAGGTAAGGGCTGCTGGGGGGGGGACGGGGGACCCAGTTCTGGGGCCATCAGAGCCCTCAGAGACGGACCACGGGGGTGGATCCCAGGAGTCCGGGCTAGAGCAGGTTACTCCTGGCACTGTAGGCAACCACTGGACCCTCCACCTGCCCTGGGCGATGTGCCCCTGTCCCGTGCCCAGCAGGGCAGCAGAGCTGGGCAGCCAGAGAGTGGCACCTGCTATGGGGTGGCTATGGGGGAAAGGCAATTTTGGAGAGGTCTGTAGCCCCCGCAAGCCCCCCCACCCCAGTGCTGCCCCTGCCCTTCTCTCAGGGATTTCGATCATCCTTATCTCCTGATGCTGGAGGGTGGGGGGACTTCATGCCACCTTCTTAAGGGCAGGTAGGGGACCAGCCATGCTGTGCACCGGGTTCCAGGCCTGGGATCCTAGTCTGACAGCCAGGATGTGCTCTGTGAATCGCCTTACCGCTGCCTGTCTGGAGTCTTCCTGCCATTCCTCTGCCTTCAGGCCTTTCCCCAGCCCCCATAATGGGAAACCCACGTGGGCTTTTTCTGTGCTGACGGTGAGTGCGGAATGCTCTTGGAGTCTCTGACCCCAGCCCGCACTAAGGCCGGGAGTCTGTCACGGATACTGTGACTTTCCAGGACCTCCGTGGTTTCTGCAGCGGCAGTGCAGCTGACCCCAGGGGACCCTGGAGTAGCAGCAGTCCTGGAGCCACTGCAGGGCCCTGGGCCGCCCCCCTCACAGCAGCTGCAGGGTGCCAGGCCGCCCACCCTAGCAGCTGTGGACTCTGGGCCACACCACCTACTCCAGAGCAGCCGTGACATCCCGGCTGCCCCCCTGCCCCCAGAGATGCCGCGGCACCCCAGGCCATCTCCAAGCCCCGGAGCAGCAACGGGGTCCCAGGCTGTCCCCCTCTCCATTCAGCAGTGGGTCCTTGAAGTCCCCCAGAGCACCTAAGATTTAGTCAGGGGTATTTATAGTATGAGTACAATGGGTTACCGAGGGAGGTGGTGGAATCTCCTTCCTTGGAGGGTTTTAAGGCCCGGCTTGACAAAGCCCTGGCTGGGATGATTTAGTTGGGGTTGGTCCTGCTTTGAGCAGGGGGTTGGACTAGATACCTCCTGAGATCCCTTCCAACCCTGATATTCTATGATTCTATGATTCATGGACAGGTCACAGGCCATGAATATTTGTTTATTGCCCCTGACCTGTCCATGACTTTTATTAAAAATACCCATGACTAAAACGTAGCTTTAGTCATCACACACAACGGCCATTTGCTTTGGATTTAGCATTTTTTCTGATAAAGTCCTTCACTGGCATTCCACAAGGCTTCCTTGATACGTGATGAGCTGCTTAGTTTCAGGGAGTAAAACCAAGGCGTGTAACATCCCATTCGTTTGATGAAGTTTAAACACCCCAAACAGTTACACATTTAAGAACCGCTTTGATCTCCACTAATGCACGAGTCAATTGACAGGAATACGCTCTAGTTTGCCAGTGCCACAAGCTCATCGCTGGCTCTGCCACATTTGCCGTTTGCCGCTTCTGGCTCGAGCTGCGATGCTGAGTTCTGAGGCTCTGCCAATTCGCCCAGCGCTTAGTGATTTCCCTGGGTGGGGGGGACCCCACTGCTGCTGCATCCTGTGCTGTCTTTGATCACGTTGTCTTTAAACAGAGCCCCTAGCCCAGGTAGGAGAGAACACCTGGCCCCACCCCCTCGGGCTCTCACTGGATGTGGGGTCACTCGCCCCGCTCAGCGCGTGAGGGTCAATCGGGCAGGCTGAGTACGGTTCTGCTGCCCTCGACTCGTACAATGAGGATAACAACATTTCACACCCCGCGTCCCAGATTAACCCCGAACAGCCCAAACTGAGCACTGTGGCAAAGCAGGTCTGTCTGCCGAGCACCTAGGCAGCCCAGGTGTGTCTGATACCGTCTGCTCCTGAGGTCTGCTCCCCCAGCTCATCCCCACAGGGCAGGGGGGAGCCCATTCAGATCCCGCTCATACACAGGGCTGATTTTGTTCATGCTAAACGAATGGATTCCTTGAAAGGAGCTGTACTGTGGGGGGTCCCTACCTCTGGTACCCCTGAATGGGGCTCACGTTTGTGGCTTTGCCAGGAGGCCAGTTAGGTTTTAAAGCTGAAATCTCACAAACTCGGTTTGGCAGTTTGGTGACTATTCTAGCTGCTATTTGAATGGGATTGAAGCAGGAGAGCCCCTTTTCCTGGAGGAGAGGCCTGGGGCCAGCACAACAAGGGGACGCTCTGAGAGAGGCTGTATGAAGGCTGGGGGCAGAGAACACCCCGTCAGTCAGGGTCAGAGATAAATGTAACAGGGAAGAGGAGATGGGATGTTCCCAGGATCACACAGGATCCCTCCAGCAGAGCTGGAAATGGAACCCAGGAGTCCTGGCTCAGTCTTTTTTGTTTTGTATTCCTGCTCTGCAAGATGAGCAGGTGCATTGCAGGCAGGCTAGCCAGGTCCTGCTCTGGAGAGCGCTGAGATGAGGACAGGAGGGATGAGCACCGAGGGTGGGGCAGAGGGGAGCGGGATGAAGGGGCCGTTTCTCAGGGGGAAGCGATGCCCCATGTTTTTACCAGAGGGCCAGGGCCCTCAATTCTTGTTCAGTCCCTTTCCTCCCGCTCAGGGACTGGTTCTGGGGTGCTGATGGTGGAGCCAGGCGACACATGGACTGTCCATGCCAGAGTCAGGAACACAAGAAAGGAGACACACACTGAGCTGAATGCTGGAGGGAAAGTTTATTATCACTTCACTGTGCTGAGATTGCTGAGAAGAGCCGAGCGTGGGTGCGACAGGGAGAGAAGGGGGCAGAGCAGAGCGGGAGTGACCCAGCGTAACACAGCGATGCTTTGCAGAAGGGACTTTGCAGCCGGGGACACAGGATCTGGTCTCCCAGGGGAGCCGGAGGGACCCGATTCACTCACAGCCCAGGTGCTGGGAGCCCCCAGGTGCAGGCAACCTGCCTCCCCTAGGGTTTACCCTTACAAATGAAAGAGAATCTCCAATCACAGGGATAATTGTGCCATTTCTGAAAACCTAGAAAGAAAAACAGAAATGACCCCTGGGGTGGGGCAGGCTGGGCCGTTCCTGCCATACAGTGACCCCAACCCTGCCCCGTTCCGTGCCCCTCAGAGAAGATCCCAGCTCCTGTGCACAGCCCTGAGGAAGAGGAGGGTGGGATGGAGCCCTGAGCAGCCCAGATTGGGGCAGCCCCATCCTGCAAAGAGAGGCCGAGGCTCAGTGTGAAAGGGGAGACGCCTGGTCCATGTGCTACTGCTCCTACCTCCCCCACCCCACGTGCCCCCCACCCCAGCCAGAGGGCCGAGGAGAGAGCGAGAGCCCTGCCCCGGGACTGGGGGCACCCGCTCAGGAACTGGGCTGCTGCCTCCCTCCCTACTGAGTGAGCTGCCCCACAGCCAGGCCCCCTCCATGCCCTGCCCGCCTGGGTCTGGCTACACCCATGGGAACATCTGTCCCAGGCAGGGCTCAGCCGCCGTGCAGAGGGGATGTGTCCCTGCCCCAGGAGTCAGTGTTACCGGCCTGCTGTGCTCAGAGCAGCACGTTCCTCCCTCAGACCCCGTTACCCCTCTGCTCCGGGGGTGTCTGTGCCCGTGCCCGGGCGCTGCCCGGCAGTAGTATTCCTGCTTAGTCAGCCCAGACAGCGCCCAGGGAAGGACAGTCCTGGGGCTGGGCTGGGTGGGCTCAGCCCCTCAGCAGCACCCCAGGCCCAGCAGGGAGCTCCTCGGGGGGTATAGGCCGGTCTCAGTGCCCCGTTCCCTTGGGTGTGGGTTTCTGCTGCTGTTTGCCTGTATCCCCGTCCAGTGACTGCAGCCCTGGCTGTGCCCATCTGCCGGCATCAGGCCTGACGGACAGTGAGCCTGTAACTCAAGACTGTATCATGATGCACATGTACCAGGGGCTGAGTTAAGGTTACATGGGCAGCCTTAGACTGACACTTCTTTGACTTTGGGACTTTCATGTTTCTTTAACATAATGTTTTGGGTGTAATTTCGGAATAGTTCATAAACGTAACAAAGAATTAATGTTTTAGTAAAATGTTAATCAATTATTACAGAGCCCAGTGCTCAATGGGCTGCTTGTTACCCTAGCGTGTGACTGTCTAACACACCCGGCTCATGGCAGGCCCAGGCCTGTCCCAGTGATGAACGGAATTGGTCTGAGAGCCCCGGCCCTGCCCCTCGCTCCCCCCACCCACTGGCACTGCAGGCCCCACACAGACACAGCACTCAGAAATCAGGGCCAGGCGGGGGATTCGTTGTGAATTTTGCCCCTCTCCTGTTCACAACCTGCCTGCAAACTGACCCCTCGAATCCACCAACACTGGCTAGTCCAGGGGTTCTCAAACTTGGAGTCTTGACCCCTCATGGGGTCACAAGGTAGTTACATGGGGGTCACGAGCTGTCAGCTCTGTGGGGCTGGCAGCCCCGAGGCCCCATTCAATTAAATGACCCCTCTCGTTGTGAATGTATTATGGGGGTCACACTGAGAGGCTGGCTGTGCGAATGGGGGCATCAATACAAAAAGGTTGAAAACCACTGCACTAGTCGCTGTCACCGTCTGGGCTATTTCAAACTTCTTCCCCTCCCCGCTGGCGCTGTGAGCGCCCGGTCACGTACAGCACCGCCGCGGGGTCTGCTCCCTGGCTGCAGCTATTGCTAACGATCCCCTCCCAGTGCCAGTTTCCATGGGAATAGTCATTAGTGCTCAATCTGTGAATGTTCCGAGACTAGGCAGCACTTTCACAAGCAGCCAGCATGTGTGCGAATGCTTGTGAGTAACATGACCCCACGAGGGGACCAAATGCAGCTCTGGTGCCCACATCACTGTGTAGATCAGTGTTTGCACAGCAGGGGTGCAACAGCGATTCAGAGCCATCACCCTTTAACAGCTCAGCGGAGTCCCCATCTGGGGCCAGGGGTGTGTCTTTGTGTGTGTGTGTGTGTGTGTGTGTCTCCTGCCTGTCATTGAAGCAGACATGTAAACTGACCCAGAGGAGCTGGTAAGCAGCAGTTTTACCAGGTGAGACAAGGGGGTCTCTCCTGACTGCCCTCCCAGCATGGGGCAGGGAAGAGAGAGGAGCCAGGATCTGCACTCCAGAGCGCGCTGGGGCCAGCCCGGATCGTATCTCAGGACCTGAGTGGTCAGAGCGCTGCCAGGGTTCCCCTTGTAGGAGCATGTGGGTCTGATCCACTGACTTACCTGGACTTCCTAACACTACGCAGTGCTTATTTTTGTGCAGACTATCAGGTTGCCCTTTATCCCAATTTTTGTAATCGAATAGGGAATGATCTGACCATCTCCAGCTCAGATCCTGCAGAGACAAAGGAGAGCAGAGCCCCTGTAAAACCCAAGGTTACACAGCGAGAGACGTGCCCCGGAGCCGAGGGGCCATGGGCAGGGCACGGGCAGAGGCTGCCCAGTGACACTGGAGACACTGATCATTGCTATGAAATGTCAGCGCTGACAACCAGGGCTACATTTACTGGCAGCTGAAGTTACACCAGGACCAGCCCAAGCCCTCGGAAGCATGAAAACAGCAAGTGAAGGGAGAGTCTCCAGCACCCCCTGCCCCTGCCACCCCCACATCGCCGAGGGGAGCGCACCCCGACCTGCCCTCAGGTTCCACGTCCATCTCCAGCCCAGCCCGACAGGCAGCACCTGCAGCGTCATCCCACGCGCTGTCCCGCAGCCCCACGCTGCTGACCCCGTTCTCTCTCGTGTGCACAGACCCACGCGGCGACGCTCCCAAAGCCCATCCACAGGGGAGTTACTCTGCTCCCCGCTGCAGAGATCACGGCGGTAGGTCTGGGGGACGGGGGCGCTGGATGAAGCTGGGGTTCGCACTGTCGGGGATCAGGGGCTGCAGCAGAATTAGTCACCTGGCGACCCAGCCAGCGCAGCCGGCCGCAGGACACCCGACTGACTGCACCCCCTGCCTGGGCAGGAAGGGCAGCTGGCTGGCTCTTAGCCCAGCAGCTCTCTGGCTGCTCAGTGTGTTCATGCCACGGCCGCGATCCTCCCTGTGCTGCTGCTCCTCGCCGGGCTCCTGTCCTGCTCCAGCCCTGCTCCTCCTCCTGCTCCTGCTGGTTTCCCAGCCTTGCTCCTGCTCAGTCCTGGCCGCCTCCGCTTGCTCCTGGTCCCGGCTTCCTTACCCTGCCCCTGGGCTCCGGCACTGACCCTTGATGTGCCGCCTGGGTCCCCTCCTGGCTCTGACCCTCGGCTTGGCTATTAATTCCTGACTCCGGCTCTGACCCTTGTATTGGATCCGCTTCCTGCTCCTGCTCCGACCATTAAGCCTGACTGCCCACAGCCCCGCCTCTATCATGTGTCCCTTGGGCTGTTTGCTGGGGAGGGAAGCAGAAGCCGTATGCGCCTGGAGTGGGCTGCCAGCACCTCAGCTGATGGGAAGGAGCCGGGAATGTTGGCGACAATCCCCTTGTTCTGTCCATGTGTTCAGGGATTCGGGTGGGTCCTGATCCCCCCATTCCCTGTCCCTGAAGGGAGTTCTGGGTTATTAATTCCCCAGGGTTTTGTACGGGGCCGTGTCCCTCGGTGGGCAGCTCCTCGGTGGGCGGGTGCAGGGGGAGCTGCCCAGGGGGCAGAGGCTGACGCTGCCCCAGGCTGAGTTGGCCCCCCGAGGGGTGAAAGGCTGCGACGTGGCCCAGGAGGTCTCTGTCTCTGGCATTTCATCACGGTGAGAAGTGAGGAGGCCAAGAGCAGTCGGGCGTGTTTAGCAAGTGACGACAGCCTGTCGGCTGGACGGAGCCTCGTGCAGGAGTCTGCGCCGTCACTGCCCCCCGAAACACCAGCCTCTCCCGCACTCTGGGGCCAGACAGGAGCGGCTGCAGCAGGGGGCGTCTGTGCTGCCCAGCAGTGCTGCCCACGGAGCTCCCCCGTCTCCCATCGGTCCCACCGGCGGCATTGCTCTCCGGCTGCCGGCTGGCCAGCAGGGCCAGCAGCACCCACCACATGCGACCAGCCCCGAGCTCTCAGAAACGTCCCGTTCAGCCTCGGCAGCTGGGTGTGTGGATTAACAAGCAGGGGTTGGCCGTGACCTGGCTCGAGGACAAGCAGCGGCACAGCGAGCCCGGAGCAGCAGAGAAGCTGGATGCAGGGGAACCCACCGAGGAACAGCATGCAGAGCCAGCAGCAGGAGCCGTGGAGCAACGCATGGGGCAGACTGTGACTGTCAGACACTGCAGCCGGGGGCAGCTCTGTGCAGGGTTTATGGGGGAACAGCAGCGGCTGGGCAGGGCCCCAGGGAGAGACACTGACTGAGCCTGGCCTGGAAAGCAGCCTGCATAGGCGCAGACTCTGTGGGTGCTCCGGGGCGGGGGCAGGGCTTGGCGATGCATCAGGGGGCACTTCCCCAAATGCTGGGGAGTGGAAGGGGTGGGACCAGCCCCTCTCACGCTGCTCTGCTGCATGGCGGGCTGGCGGCTGCCTGAGAGAGCCTGGCTGGGGAGGTGGCTTCTGCTCCCCCTCTGGGCTCGGGTGCTGGGGACCAGGGGAGAGCGAGCAGGAGCTTTGCCCCCCCCCATCATGTTTCCGGCTCGCTCAGCATCAGTGCCTGGCAGCCGAGCCGGGCAGGGAGCAGAAGCCGCCTCCCCAGTCAGGCTGTGTCAGGCAGCTGCCACGCTGCAGAGCAGCGACCGGGAGGAGCCAGTGTTAGAAGTGGCTCCTTTCCACCAGGGAGGGGGTCAGTGTTTGGAAGCGGCACCTGCGTCAGCCCTTTCCCCTCCGTCGCGCTGTGGGGTTTAGTTTCACTTTCCCTCGCCCCAGGAGGCAGCTGCGCCCGGCCCCAGGCGCATGCGTTGGAGGGCGAAGCTCACCTGAGCTCAGGACCGCTCCTGTCTCCCCCAACGGCTCCGTCCCTCGGCCGCGCTGGTCGCTGCGCCTGGCCGGCTGTCTCCTCCTGGCTCCGCCGCAGGCTCCCACTGACCGTCCTGCGCGGCGCCCCTCGCTGCGGGGAGGCCTCGCTCCCCACTCTGCCCAGCTCAGCTGACTCCCGTGACGCCGGACACCGCTTTTTGGCACCCCCAAATCTTGGCGCCCTAGGCGGCCGCCTAGTTCGCCTAGTGGTTGCACCGGCCCTGGCCCCACCCCCATCACGCATTGGCCTGCAGAGCCCTGAGTCGCAACTAGACTGTCCCAGGGGCCAAACAAGAGCCGCGGTGGCTCACTTTGAGCTGTAAGTGATTAAGCCTCTGTAGCTCGGGGGTATCTGCAACCTCCCCGTTCCCGCCAGCCCCAGTCACTGCCCTTTCCTGAGCCTGTGTCGGGTGGGTATCGGGACCCTACAGGCCTGGAACTGATGCGCCTCTGGCCAGGTGGTCATACAATAGAATCACAGAATCATAGAATATCAGGGTTGGAAGGGACCTCAGGAGGTATCTAGTCCAACCCCCTGCTCAAAGCAGGACCAACCCCAACTAAATCATCCCAGCCAGGGCTTTGTCAAGCCTGACCTTAAAAACCTCTAAGGAAGGAGATTCCACCACACCACCTCCCTAGGGAACCCATTTCAGTGCTTGACCACCCTCCTAGTGAAAAAGTTTTTCCTAATATCCAACCTAAACCTCCCCCATTGCAACTTGAGACCATTACTCCTTGTTCTGTCATCTGCCACCACTGAGAACAGCCGAGTTCCATCCTCTTTGGAACCCCCCTTCAGGTAGTTGAAAGCAGCTATCAAATCCCCCCTCACTCTTCTCTTCTGGAGACTAAACAATCCCAGTTCCCTCAGCCTCTCCTCATAAGTCACGTGCTCCAGCCCTCTAATGATTTTTGTTGCCCTCCGCTGGACTCTTTCCAATTTTTCCACATCCTTCTTGTAGTGGGGGGCCCAAAACTGGACACAGTACTCCAGATGAGGCCTCACCAATGTCAAATAGAGGGGAATGATCACATCCCTCGATCTGCTGGCAATGCCCCTACTTATACAGCCCAAAATGCCGTTAGCCTTCTTGGCAACAAGAGCACACTGTTGACTCATATCCAGTTTCTCATCCACTATAACCCTTAGGTCCTTTTCTGCAGAACTGCTTCCTAGCCATTCGGTCCCTAGTCTGTAACAGTGCATGGGATTCTTCCGTCCTAAGTGCAGGACTCTGCACTTGTCCTTGTTGAACCTCATCAGATTTGTTTTGGCCCAATCCTCTAATTTGTCTAGGTCCCTCTGTATCCTATCCCTACCCTCCAGCGTATCTACCTCTCCTCCCAGTTTAGTGTCATCTGCAAACTTGCTGAGGGTGCAGCCCACGCCATCCTCCAGATCATTAATGAAGATATTGAACAAAACTGGCCCCAGGACCGACCCTTGGGGCACTCCGCATGATACCAGCTGCCAACTAGACATGGAGCCATTGATTGCTACCCGTTGAGCCCGACGATCTAGCCTGCTTTCTATCCACCTTATAGTCCATTCATCGAGCCCATACTTCTTTAACTTGCTGGCAAGAATACTGTGGGAGGCCGTATCAAAAGCTTTGCTAAAATCAAGGAATAACACATCCACTGCTTTCCCCTCATCCACAGACCCAGTTATCTCCTCTTATAAGTCAATTAGGTTAGTCAAGCATGACTTGCCCTTGGTGAATCCATGCTGACTGTTCCTGATCACTTTCCTCTCATCTAAGTGCTTCAGAATTGATTCCTTGAGGACCTGCTCCATGATTTTTCCAGGGACTGAGGTGAGGCTGACTGGCCTGTAGTTCCCTGGATCCTCCTTCTCCCCCCCTCACTAAGCCCACCCTGAGGACGAATACACACATCTCGTCTGTGTGGGGCGGGGCTGACTCTCGTGCCGGGTGTGTACGGTGTGAGCGCAACGGGCCGGTGTGGTGGGTCCCTGGGCACTAGTTTAATGAACGTGAATATTAATACCAGCAGTTTATACTCTGCACCGGGCGCTGGGGATCGATCCCATGACTGAAAACACAGGCGGTTACAGCCCCTTTTCACCCCGTTCCCATGGAAATCCTGCTCTGGTGGCACCCCCGCCCCAAACAACAACTTCACTGAGCAGAGACACAGACCCCAGGGGGAGGGGCTGCCAGAGGCAGAGCGGGCACCAGGCACTCACCCCATGATGGTCTGAGAGTCCAATCCAGAGGGGTTTTTTCTCTGTGTGGTGCTGCTTGATATAATCGGACAGAATTTCAGTTTCTCCAGTATTGTGAATGGAGACAAGATGGGACCCTTGCAAGTGGTTCTGGCAGTCAACCTGGGACAAGAGAAAACAAAGCTAGTTATCCCCCACTGCAGGGAGCAGAAGGAGTTCTGGGGCCCTGCCTCCCCCGGGCAGCAAGGGCTGTGAGGGGACAGGACCCCGTGTTAGCACCTCTGCCCACCACAGGACAATAAGGCCTTTGCAGAGAAGCTAAATGAATTCTTTGCATCGATCTTCATGGCTGAGGATGTGAGGGAAATTCCCAAACCTGAAGCATTCTTTTCAGGTGACTGTCAGGGTTCCCTCCACACTCTGAACTCTGGGGTACAGATGTGGGGACCTGCATGAAAGACCCCCTAAGCTTATTTCTACCAGCTTAGGTTAAAAACTTCCCCAAGGCACAAATCCTTTCCTTGTCCTTGGATGCTATTGCTGCCACCACCAAGTGATTTAGACAAAAATTCAGGAAAAGAGTCACTTGGAGTCCCTAGTTCCCCAAAATATTCCCCCAAGCTCCTTCACCCCCTTTCCTGGGGAGGCTTAAGAATAATGAGAGTACCGACCAGACCCTTGGTTTCTAGGACACTGAATATCAATCAGATTCTTAAAGGAAGAACTTTATTTATAGAAAAAGTAAAAGAATCACACCTGCAAAAATCAGGATGGAAGGTAACTTTACAGGGTAATAAGAAGATATAAAACACAGAGGACTCCCCTCTAGGCTCAGCTTCAAAGTTACAAAAAACAGGAATAAAACTCCCTCTTAGCATATGGAAAATTCACAAGCTAAAACAAAAGATAATGTAACGCATTTCCTTGCCCTTACTTACAATTTTTGTAATCTTATATGGATCATTTCAGGTATGTTTTCAGGAGATGTTTTTCCTGCCTGGTCTCTCTCTCCGTCCAGAGAGGGAACAACAAAGAGAGCACAAACAAAACCTCCCCCACCCCCAGATTTGAAAATATCTTCTTTCCTCGTTGGCCCTTGTGGTCAGGTGCCAACTAGGTTATTTGAACTTCTTAACCCCTTACAGGTAAAGATTCAGTACAGCTGCCCAGGAGGGCTTTTTATGTTGCCCGTATCTGTATGTTTATGACAGTGACAAATCTGAGAAACTGTCCCAGATTGAGGTATCATTAGGGGAGATTTTGGAACAAATTGATATTAAACAATAAGTCACCAGGACCAGATGGTATTAACGCAAGAGTTCTGAAGAAACTCAAATATAAAATTGAAGAACTACTAACTGTGGTATGTAACCTATCATTTCAATCAGCTTCTGTGCCAGATGAGTGGAGGATACCTAATGTGATGCCAATTTTTAAAAAAAGCTCCGGAGGCGATCCTTGCAATTACAGGCCAGTAAGCCTAACTTCAGTACTGGACAAACTGGTTGAAACTATAGTAAAGAAAAAAATTGTCAGACACATAGATGAATATAATTTGTTGGGGAAGAGTCAACATGGTTTTTGTAAAGGGAAATCATGCCTCACCAATCTACTAGAATTCTTTGAGGGTGTCAACAAGTATGTAGACAAGGGTGATCCAGTGGGTCTAGTGTACTTAGATATTCAGAAAGCCTTTGACAAGGTCCCCCTCCAAAGGCTCTTAAGCAAAGTAAGCTGTCATGGGATAAGAGGGAAGGTCCTCTCATGGATCAGTAACTGGTTAAAAGATAGGAAACAAAGGGTAGGAATAAATGGTCAGTTTTCAGAATGGAGAGAGGTAAGTAGTCATGTCCCCCAGGGATCCGTTCTGGGACCAGTACTGTTCAACATATTCATTAATGATCTGGAAAAAGGGGTAAACACTGAGGTGGCAAAATGTGCAGATGTTACAAAGGGATCTCACAAAACTGGGCGACCGGACACCAAAATGGCAGATGAAATTCTATGTGGATAAATGCAAAGTAATGCACATTGGAAAACATAATCCTAACTACACATAGAAAATGATGGGGTCTAAATTAGATGTTACCGCTCAAGAAAGAGATCTTGGCATCCTTGTGGATAGTTCTCTGAAAACATCCACTCAATGTGCAGCGGCAGTCAAAAAAGCAAACAGAATTAAGAAAGAGATAGATAATAAGATAGAAAATATCATATTGCCTCTATGTAAATCCACGGTACACTCACATCTTGAATACTGCGTGCAGATGTGGTCACCCCATCTCAAAAATATATATATTGGAATTGGAAAAGGTACAAAGAAGGGCAACAAAAATGATTAGGGGTATGGAACAGCTTCCACATGAGAAGAGATTAATAAGACTGGGACTTTTCAGCTTGGAAGAAACACGATTACGAGGGGATATGATCAAGGTCTATAAAATCATGACTGGTCCAGAGAAAGTAAATAAGGAAGTGTTATTTACTCCTTATAACACAAGAACTAGGGGTCATGAAATGAAATTAATAGGCAGCAGGTTTAAAACAATCAAAAGGAAGTATTTCTTCACACAGCACACAGTCAACCTGTGGAACTCTTTGCCAGAGGATGTTGTGAAGGCCAAGACTATAACAAGGTTAAAAAAAGAAGTAGATAAATTCATGGAGGACAGGTCCATCAATGACTAATAGCCAGGGTGTGCATGGATGGTGTTCCTAGCCTCTGTTTGCCAGAAGCTGGGAATGGCCGACAGGGGATGGATCATTCAATAATGGACCTGTTCTGTTCATTCCCTCTGAAGCACCCAGCATTGGCCACTGTCGGAAGGCAGGATACTGGGCTAGATGGACCATTGGTCTCACTCAGTATGGCCGTTCTTATGCACACAGGGCCCCATCACCACCCTCATGTCCTATGCAGCGACTCTCTGGTCACATACCAGCCAGCAATGGGGATCGAACTGGAGACCTTCAGCACAGCCCTGTCACCGGAGCTAAGGGAGCTGCTTTGGTAACACCGAGTAAGGAGCAGGCCCTTCCTGAGCTGGCTGCTAGAGGGAGACATGACCCCACCTGGACCCACGCCGTCCCTGATGTCCCTGGTAGACACAGCGCATGACTAGCATGTCAGGTCGAGAGGAGATCGTGCCCCACTGGGGGCTATGTTTACATTGTATTCTGCTCCCCAGCCTGGCCAGGGCAGGTTGTTCCCTCACAGCCTGTTCCCAGGGCTCTGTCTCGGGCAGTGTGAAATGTGCCATCCCTGTGCTCTCACCTAGGGTTGCCAGGCGTCCAGTATTTAACCAGAACACCCGGTCGGAAAGGGACCCTGGTGGCTTCGGTCGGCATCACTGACCGAGCCGTTAAAAGTCCGGTTGGCATCTCAGCGGGGACCCAGGGCTAAGGCAGGCTCCCTACCTGCCCTGACTCCGCGTGGCTCCCAGAGGCGGCCGCCATGTCCCTGCGGCCCCTAGGCACATGGGCAGCCAAGGAGGCTCCACGCGCTGCTCCCGCCCCAAGTGCCGGTTCCGCAGCTCCCATTGGCTGGGAACCGCAACCAATGGGAGGTGCGGGGCAGCACCTGTGGGCATGAGGGCAGTGTACGGAGCCTCCCTGGACACCCATATGTGTAGGGGCCACAGGGACTTGGCGGCCACTTACTAGGAGCTGCATTAAATTCTGCCGGGACCCCATACCCCGCAGCCCAGAGCCCATACCCCCCCTTCACTCCAACCCCCTGCCCCAGCTTGGAGCCCTCTCCAACACCCCAAATCTCTCATCCCTGGGCCTACCCCAAAGCCCGCACTCCCAGCCAGAGCCCTCACCCCCCTCCCGCACCCCAACCCCTTGCCCCAGCCTGATGAAAGTGTGTGAGGGTTGGAGAGAGTGACAGGGGAAGGGGGGATGGAGCGAGGGGGGCGGGGCCTCAGAGAAGGGGTGGAGCAGGGATGTAGGCTTAGAAAGTTGGCAACCCTACCCTGCCCCTCCCATCGGAGCCGATTCCCCAGCCCTACCCAGCTCACTTACTCTGATATTCACCCTAAACCTCCCCATCCCCCAGCCTACAGCTCCAGCCCAGCGCCCCGGAGCCCCGCTGCCCCCAGCCTCTCACCTCAGCCTGCCTCCAGTTTTTCTCTTGGGAGATGTATCCATAGCAGTTGCCATGGAAGGAGAGCCAGCCCTCCGGACAGGACAGAGCCTTTGTCCCTGCTGAGAGAGAGGGGGCTGGGGGGCAATGGTGGGGACAGGACACCGCGGTTAGAGGCTGTTTCAGAGGCACAGCTGCAGCTTTCAATTAGGACAAATAACATTGGGACACCGTTTGGGGCTGTGTCTGGCTGGCAGGACCCTCCAGGCCCTGGCGCTGCAGGAAGAAGCTGGGTTTGCTCAGACCCCACATCGGCAGAACGGGGCCCCTGAAACCCAGCCCAGAGCAGGGATCCCAGCAGGGCAGGGCCTCGGGGTTTGGATGGAACGTGGGCTCCTTTCCCTGTGGCTCCCTGGGGGAAGGAAGGAGCCAGTGCACTCTGGGTGGCTGATAGACCCTCCCCTGCCTCTGCCTCATTCAGATGCAGCTCTTGGGCAGAGGGAATTCCTGCCACCCTGAGCTCCTCCCCGTCTCCCCCTGGGCCATGTGGAAGAGCAGGACCAGGGAACTGGCAGTGGGGCAGGAAGGGAACACCCAGGGCAAAGTGGTGAAGCTGGGAGAGCAATGGGGTTGGCACAGACTGGGACTAGTTATCACCCAGCACCCAATCCTCAGGGGAAGAGCTGACCCATGGAGGCATTTCATCCGCCTTCTCCCACCTGCTCCCTGGGGAGGGGCCGCAGGGCCTGGGGCTCTCCCCAGGGCAGTGACCCCCAGCAGCAGGCTCTGGGAGTGACGAGGGAAATGAATTCACTTCCCAATTCCCACCATGGCAACCAGCACCCAGGGGCTCCAGCTCCGAGGGGCCAGGCAGGAACTCACCTGCCAGCGAGGGGTTAAAGATCAGGCAGCCGAGGAGGCAGAGGCTGAAGTAGGCGACTGGCCCCATCTTCTCGCTTCCCCTGGGGAGAAAACACACCAGGGAGATGGGGCCATGAGAGCCTAAGACAACCCCCAGAATGCCCCCCCCCATCCCTCGTGGGGCATTTCAGTCCTTTAGAGCTGGGGCTGTTTGCTAAAGGGCCTGGCTGGGCTGGAAAGGCCCCGAGAGGGATCCCATCCACCAGCCCTGGGGCACCGAGCTTGGGGCCCATCTCCCTGGTCCAAAGAGCCCTTCCTCTTCCACCCTTCACTGAGCCGTGCCCCAGGGACAGAACTGGACACCCAGCATGGAGCCCGGTCCCAGCTCCTCAGTGGCTGGGTTCTGCAAGCAGCATCTCCAGGGACTCCCCAAATCAGGGCTGCAGGTGGGGAGAAGCCAGGGGTCAGCAGGGAGGCCATGGTCACTCAGATGGGGCCTGGGTCCAGGCAACAGGGCCCCATTTGCAGAGCAAAGTGGTTCTCAGCAGGGGCATTTGCCATCTCCCGTTGTCCCTCTCTCCCCCAGTGTTGGAGCTGGCAGGTACCCACTGTAGCCACCTACATGGAACGTGGAGGGAGGGCAGAGGTGGGAGGAGGGAAGAGTTTGGAAGAGGCACCAGTGCCACCAGGATGGAGGCCAGTCTGTGTGCACGTGGCTGGAATGTCAGCTGCAGGTGCAGCACCTCTGCAATCGTTCTCTGACTAGAGACCAAGTTAGTGTTAGAAACTTGGAGTCCTCTTGTGTTATCACCCAACACCTGGTACATGAAACACCCACTGACCCCGCCCCCGGGGCCTTTCCCCACTAACAGGTGTTTGAATCACACTCATATTTCCAGCTCCAGGGAGATCGTGTGTCTGGAAAGCCAACACCGTGTGGTTGGGGTCGGGGGGAGGGGAGGGGTTATAGTTACTGCAGCCCATGGTGGGGGCTGGGACCCCCGTTGCACCATGACTGGGAGAAGGGGTGGAATGGGAGAGCCGCCCTGCACAGTGATGATCCAGCAGGGACTGGAC